AGCCTGCCCGAAGCCGCCCGCCCCGCCGAGCCGAGGCCGCCCGAACAAGGGCCGAACCGGCACGAAGCGGCCTAGTCGAGCCCTGCCGACGGCCAAGAGTCCGGAACCGAGGAGGGCCGAAGCGGCCCGAAGTGCGGAGCCGAGTCGGTCCGAATCGGCCCGAAGCGCCACGAGGGCTTCCGAGCGGCTCTGCGCCACCCCCGACTCAGCGCCTAAGAGGGCTGCGCCACCCGTCGTCCCCCGCAAGAGGGTCGCCAACTGCGGGGCCGGATCTCGCCGATCTCCGACGCAGTGCGGTCGGGCCCAGAGAACCTCTCGCCGCAGGCTCCGCCCGCCCCCGCCGCGAGCGGGAGCCGAGTCCGTCCGAGGCGGAGCCGAACAGAGCCGAACGCTGCCGAGCCCGGATACTCCCGAGCCTCGGCTCTCCGCCTCCTCCTGTACGAAAGTGCCCGAGCGCTGCCGGACGGGTCGAACGGGCCTCGGCCGCGGATCGAATCAACTCCCGAAGCGCGGCGCGGTCGGGTCCCTTCGGGAGCAGAAGCGAAAATGGCCGAAGACGCGAATAGTGCGGAGCCGAGAGACTGCTGGGATCGCGGCGGACTCGGCGGGCGGGGCCGGGCGGCAAGATGGCTGCCGCACGGCGAGGTGAGAGGGCCCGGGGCGGGCTCCTTAGGGAGCTGTCGGGGGGCCTGGGGGCCGGCCACGAGGGTCTCGGGACAGCGCAGCGCCCGTCCGCCCGCGGCTTGGGCTGGGGCCCCGGGCGGGCGGGGGCGGAGATCATCCCGGGAAGGTTCTTTCTGGTGATGGAAAGGCGGACGGGTCTAGGGCGTCTCCCAGCGGTTGCGGTTCCGCGGTCTTGAATGTCTTGGCGAGGTGCGGCCCCGGGCCGGTTGGGCGCCTCTTGCCCTCCCGTGGCCGGCGCCCCGCTCGGCGCAGAAGCCCAGCTGTGCACGGCCCTGGGGGTGGGGGGGACCGTCCCCCGCCGCCGGCCCTGGACGGGGGATCCCCTCTCCCGCCGCCGGCCCTGGTTAGGGGGCCCCGTCCCCCACCACTGGCCCTCAAAGGGGGGTGCCGCCGGCGACCCTCGGGGTGCCTCCCGTCCCCCGCCGCCGGCCCTAGTTGGGGGGGGACCCCGTCTCCCGCCGCCGGCCCTGGAGGGCCGCATGCAAGATGCCGTGGGCCCCGGGCGCTGGGCCCCGTGTGTGGCCGTGGACCCGGGCCGGCTGCGGCAGCTGCACGCTCCAGAGAGCGAGGGGGCCCGTGTGCCTTGAGGACAGGGCGAGAGCTTGTCACGGCCCTGGGGGCACCCTGTCGCGGTCGCCAGCAGCTTCGTGTCCAGTGCAGAGTGCTGGGCAACGTGGCAAGCCCCTGTTCCAAAGCTAGGCTCAGCCGGTGTGTGCCTCAGTCGCACAGATGTCCCTAACGTCGGGCCATGGAAGCTCCCCAGCGGTGGGCATGGCTCCTGCTGGTGCAGGTCCTGCTCGTGCCACCAGGGTCCCTGCCGTCACTGTGGCATTTACAGTACTGAGCTCTCAGCCAACGTGACAGCTCTTGGGTGAACACTTGTGTAGTGAAAGGAAAGTGCACGAGTGGGGGGTGGCTGTGTTACTCTGGGCTCCGAGTTACCTGTGTGTCTAGTTTAGCACCCACTTTGGACACAAAAGCCCACTTTTCCGGCCTCCGTCCTGCACCAAGTTACTGGCTGGAGAGCAGAGAGGAGGGAGGGAGCTGCCGCAGCGAGCAGAGGTCTGTGTTGTCTGTGTTTTCTTCAGAGCCCTCCCCGAGGGCTCCAAATCGCCAGACCATTGTGGAAGGCCACTGGCAATGAGGTGTGTCTGCATTTGGTGACAGGAAGTCCACACCAGAACAGGATCTCTGTGCACACCTTGTGTATCACCTCAGGGGGATCATTTGTTCTCTTTACTTGCACGTGAACTTAAACACCTGTGGATGGCCTCGTTGTTACAGTAACTCATTGACAAAAAATGCTAGGTCCTAAAAGCCAGGGCTGTACTTAGTCAGAATGAGCTCCTGAAGGTCTGAAATCCATAGAACAGCCAAATTGATTGTAGCCGCCTTTAATGTTAATTATTTAAACCCTATTTCACGTAAAGTTTTTATACAACATTTTTTTCCTGAGCCCCCACAGTTCTGATCCATGAGAGTGGTTGGCTGGCAAATAGATTTGAAGTGTCTGAAGCCAACCTTCAAGAGAAGAATCAAAAGGGAGGAAAACCCCAATTAATGTGAAATTCACCCAAATAATGGCAAGCATCTAGGCAGCCTAGTTTAGCTACCTCCTGGAAAAGAACAGATCGGGTTTCAAGAGCACACTGCCTGTAATGTGATGCAAGTTTATAAAGGATCCTGCACGAGCTTCACGCTCCCTGCACGTGCTGCCTCTCCTGGACGCTGAGCTCTGAATCTCTGTTACTAATTCCCCACGCCGACCCATTTAAGACCCCTGCCCCAGCGAGACTCCACAGAAGGCCCGAATCTGCTTTGATGTCCCCCACAAACCTCAGCAAGGCTGAGAGTGTCTCTCCTGCCCCCTTGCAGAGGGGAACTGGAGAGAAGACCAGACAGACTGGTTCACATCACTGTCCTGCTTGCTGCTTGGCAATATAGCTCAAGTCTTCTTCTGTAGGGTCTGTTTGCCAAATTTAAGTTATTACTGATGTTTCTACATGTCACAAATGTGCCACTACTCTGAGCCTCTTGAGACAGGAAATCTGCCCCAGGACACGTTCAGTCAAAGGATTAGTCAAAGATAACTTCAAACTCAAAACCTCGGATTCTGAAGACCATTTCACGGGGAGAGAGGCTGTCATCTTAAGATGAGGGGAAACGTGTGCCTGCTATGGGGTAGGAGAAGGTCCAAGAGACGCACCACTGGAAGAAATTGGATTGCTGCTGTAGGAAATTATTGTTTGTGAGATTTGGGGCAATGTATAAAATTCTAGAGGAAAGCAAGTGTCTACCATCAATTACAAAAAAAAAAAAAAAAAGAAGAAGAAAGAAAGAAAAGATTTGTACCCTGAATCAGAAAAGGTTCTTCTCTAATTACATCTCTGTGGTAAATGCAGAAAGCACAGAGAATGAGAAAAGCTGCCGTCCTCTGGTGCCCAGGGCCTTCTCCCCCGGCGGTGGAGCAGAAATCTGCCTGTCTTGGCTGACCTGACCTCAGCCGTGGATGGAGGCCTCGCTTCCTCTCCACCGCTGAGCTCCCGAGTACACACTCTCTCCCAGCCTCAGGTTCTGAAAAGCAGATGGCAGATCCTCCTCGGAGGGACAGATGCAGAGGTGATAGAAAGGGACCTAGCTGCAGGCCCAGATAAAGGTGGCTTCTTTCTGTAAATACGGGGGAAAGAATGAAGCCGGGATCCTCTGTCAGTGTTGGAAACGGCCCAGGTAAGCACCCAGGTTGGACACTGGGGCCTCACTGACTGATATGCTTTGTTTTCCAGGGAGAGCTTCCTCCGCGGTGGTATCCTTCTGCTGTGTCCCCATGTCCCTCCGCTGGCGTCAGGCCCAGGCCTCCACAGGATGGCACTTTAGGGCTAGTTTGCTGGACATATGAAGGCAGCTCTGAGTTCCTGCTTTTTGTTCCTTTAAACTCCCATGCACACCCTTTCTATAAGTTCTGAGTAGAAATTCCACTTTTAAGTGGGAGGGACATTCACTAACAATTTAGAGTTGATAGGACTTCAGTGGGGCGTGCTGGCTCCATCACCCTCCTTCTTGACCCTGCACCTTAAGTGGGTGGCTGCCTGCCTCCCACCAGGCCCACCTGGAGCAAGAGAGTGAAGACCCCTCACTTTGAATACTTACAGACTCATTTTACCATAAACAAACAAGAAGCGTACAGTGCTCAGGAAAGTAGACATTTAACTGCACAAAAAAAGAGAATATATTTTCTTTGAAGAAAATGAAAAAAAAAAAGTCATTTTTTTCTATCTAGTAACCTGGGCCACAGTCAGGGTAATGCCCCCAAGGAAGCCTGGTGTTCCAAGGCCGTCCTGCCTGCGGTCACCAGGGATATACCCAGCCCTCCTGTTCCAGGCTAGGGCATTTCCTGTGACACCAGTGGAGTATGGGTGGAAGCCGCCCCAGGTAGGGAGCCAATGGCCAGGTCCCCGTGGCCACCCGCAGGTGCACCTCTGAAGACCTGGCAAGGCATGCCCCCTAGGGTGGATGCACAGGCAGGGCCCGTCTCTAGGCCCACCGGTCCTTAACCACTGGCCAGCTCTCGTCCGTCTCTCTGCAAGTGCTGTTCTGCCTGAGTGGGGCATATTACGCCCTGTATTTCCTAGCTACACTCCTGATGATTACATATAAAAGTGAGTCTTAAACGCAAAGGCACATGGGCGGTGTCCTTGCTGCACCACCCCACCCCCATAACTGGAGTTCTCTGTGGTCCGCTGTTCTCCAGGTCAGGTTTTCAGTTATCCTCATCCTTACCTGGTCCTCGACCTGACTCTGCTGCTTCTGATGGGGATTCTGGAAGTGACTCGGTTATATCTTGGTGAGTTGACTGAAGACCACATGGTAGGTAGGATCACAGAATTACTAGCTTACATGCTGGGAACCTCTAAATGCTCATCCCTCTATAATGTGCTTCTTAGAGACACTTTGATGTCAACCGCTTAGCCACTTGCCTTGCAAGCCTCCCCTTACGATGTCATTAAGTATTACTTAGTTTATTCAGAAGCTTAATTCAAGAGACAACACTGGCATTGGCCGCATCCTTGGGAGAGACGGCAGGGGGACAGACAGCGCTGAGATCAGAACCCAGCTTAGCCAGTTGACTGGAGCCCCCAAATACTCACCTCACCTCCTTCCTTCCCCTTCCGTTGGCCTCAGCAGTCTGGAGAAGGATCCAGAGTGTCCTGTCCAGTCCCCAACAGGGCAGCGGGGCCTGGAGGAGTGGGAGGGCTCCCCGGGCCGCCTCAGTCCAGCTCCAGGGCCATTCACGTGCCCTCAGGCAGCCCCCTGTTCCGTCCTCCAACAGCATGAGCTTTGCCCCCTAGCCCAGCGCAGCCAGTGCTCAGCACACAGGGTCCTGTCAAGTCACAGGCACGCACACGCCAGCACATCCGTGTTCTACAGCGGGGTCGTACGTGGGTGGAGCATTCTCTCCATTAGAATAGCTGGGAGAGCCGACAACAGCTGGTGCGCTCAGGCCCCTCGCACGTCAGCACGTTCTGCGGGCACACGTGCGCCAGCGACGCCCAATCAGCGGTGAGGAGACGGGCCCACGCCCTCGTCAGCGGGGCCGCAGGACTCTTCAGGGGTCAGGAGCGGGTCTGCTGGGCACGCGGGGCCATCAGCATCTGCTGTCACAGACGAGCCCACGACCCTGGGAGGGAGGCGGACGGTGCTGGGCACCGGGGTCAGCTACAGCAGCCAGGGAGCAACGTTTCCTGCGACTGACCGATTTATCTGAAATATTCAGGTTTGGTTCGGTTTTTTACAAGCGTGCATGACATTTTCCAGAACTGGCCTCAGCCCAGAGTAAAATATTTTTGGAAATTTTAAACAAAACCTCCTCAGTCCACTTGGAATTAGGAAAACGTATCAGAATGCAACTGGGATCGTTTTTAGAAAAGGAAATTCCCTCTCCCATCCCCACAACTGACCCAGAGGCTAAGATTCAAACATTCTCCCGTGATTGGTTTTTACCCTCGCTAGGGAGAACACACCCCTTGTCACACTTTGCTTTCTGACGTTTCATGAGTGATGTGGTGACCACAACAGGACCTTTTACCGAAAGTCCTCAGCCCTGCGTCCAGAGGGCCGCGCTGGTGATGAGCTGGCTCTTGGCCTCCCTGCCTCCTCGCAGCCCTCCTGGGCACACACGGGTCAGAGTAGGTGTCCCAGAGCCCAGCGCCCACTCACCTGACTGTTCTGCTCTCCAGGCACCAAGGGCAACCTGATGGAGGCCGAGGTGCCGCTGGCCATCAGCCTGGTCCTCACAGCAGGGGGTGCCCTGCTGTCCACCTACTTCCTGCTCTGGCAGACCCTGGTGCTGCGGGCAGACTCCATCCTCAGTGCCACACTCCTGGCACTCCATGGCCTGGAGGCCATCCTACAGCTGGTGGCCATTGCTGCCTTCGTCAGCTAGGCAGGCGGTGCCCAGCTTCCCTCCCCACGCCCCCCCCCCCGCCAGGGTGGGACAGCTCTGGACAGAAGCCACCTCCCCGGAGCTCGGCCATGTCTGGCTGGCTCCCTCTGGGGTGCGCTGACCTGCTTGATCACCGAGGGGGGCAGGTGAGGATGGTGCATGTTTTCTTGCGGTGCTGTGCATCTCTCACATAATTGCTGGCATTCCGTGCTTTCCACACTGGTCCACCTGGAGCTACAGGGTGGCGTGGGGAGCCAGGGACCCACAGCTCACGGCGGGCCAAGTCCTGGACAGCGGTCAGCTCTGCTTTGCAACAGAAAGAAAAGAAATGTGAAGGTGCCAGCAAGCTCTGGTGTTTGGGGGGTTTTTGCAGAGGTGGCCCCTTTCCCCTTGGGGCTCCTGTGGGGAGGTGGTCTGAAGCCCCGGCACTGAGGGGAGGGAGGCAGAGAATGGGAGAGTGACGGAGAACAGCCTGCCACTGCCCCGGGCTGGGGCTTCAGGGCTCCGACGTCCAGGCCTCCGTCAGGAAACCATCAGGAACGTTTGCACTGTGTTAGACGCAGTCACAGAACGAAAGGGCTCCTGGAAGGACTCTGAGTTCATCATGTTCTCTAGTAACTTGCCTTCGTTTATATCGCACCCTCTCCACGTTTGGAATAACATGTTTGAATATCCAGGTATTTTCTCCTTGCCATGTTGTCGAAATAAATGTTTATACCTCCCTCAATTTCTCCTAAGGCCACCTGCCTCTTCCAGGGTTCTCTCTGGATAGGAGCACACCCCACCCAGGCCTCACCCAGACACCCAGGGAGCAGTGCTTCCCTGAAAGGCAGCAAAGCTGGGCTTGGGGCCCGTCCTGGAGCTCCCCAGGGACCGGCTTCAGCGAGGGCTGGCAGCAGCACCCTCCCGCACCTGTCCTTCTTGGGGGCAGGTGGGGGCAGGAGCTCTCCCCTCTGCTGGCTTTGGCTCTGGGCCGGTGCACACCTGGGGCCCTGAGGCCGCATGTAGGTGCCCTCGTGCTTACCTGCTGCTCGCGTGCGCATGTTCAGCAGAGCCTCGTGCCTCTGACGCCGGGGCACTCCCCAGGGGACTTGGGAAGGTTGGGACGGCTGCACTTGCTCTCAGTGGAAACGCTCGGCCAGCTCCCCCGCAGACCCTGGCCGCCTGACACTTGTGGCCTTAAAGGTCCAGGACCTCCTGCCCAAGGGTATAGGCCCGGCCCTGACACCCACATCGCTCTGGCTGCACGGAGGTGGCAGTCACCTGTCCACAGAGGACAGCACAGCTCCAGGTGGCTCCAGAGGCTCCCTGGTGACAATCAGTCTAATTTCAGAAGTGCAGTAGCGCCCACCTCAGCTGCTCCCTTCTGTGCGTGCTTCCCACTTCCCGCCTGCCCAGGCTCAGTCTCCAGGAAGGACGAGGGCAGGCCTGTGCCTTTTCTGGGTGCTCGGCAGAGTAGGGGAGAGAACCAGGAAGCCAGGGCTCAGGGGCTCAGGGGCAGGGCAGGGCCTGAGAGGAAGGCCACTTCCCGCACCACCTCTGAGAGCTCACCTGTGATGCTTCAGACAGCAGGTGGGGAGACCCGCCCCCCTGGGGGGGGTGCCTCCATTCCCCCAGGGGGGTTCCCCAGGAAGTGCTCTGTGTCAGCCCCAGGTAAACAAAGGCCAACTGCCCTTGGGACCCTGCCTCCTGATGCACCATTTTCCACCCCCACCCCACCCCAGGAACAATAGCCAGAGGCTTTGGGTCCTTGCACGTGCCTGGGGTGCCCACCACTGCCTGGACTTGCCCTCTGCCCCTTCTCTACTTCCTCCCCACCCAGCTGGCAGAGGCAGGGGGAGTCAGTTCAGGAGGAAGGATACTGGCCCCACGCTGGGGGCAGAGGGTGGGGCCTGGGCCTAAGGAGGGGGCCACGGCCTGGAGTCTGCTCTCTGCCCTAGTAGTGAACAGCCTACACCACGGGCATCCCCACCCATCAGACACCCCCATCCCTCAGGGGGTGCCCATGGTGGGCTGGGGATGCACAAAAAGACTGTAGGATCGGGGCGCCTGGGTGGCTCAGTCAGTTAATCGTCTGCCTTCGGCTCAGGTCATGATCCTAGGGTCCTGGGACGGAGCCCCACATCAGGCTCCCTGCTTGGTGGGGAGTCTGCTTCTCCCTCTGCCACTCCCCCTGCTTGTGCTCACTCTCTCTCTCTCTCAAATAAATAAAATCTTTTAAAAAAAAAAAGACTGTAGGATCTCCTGGATTGTGGAGAAGAGAGCCCTCTCCTGCCTGGGGAGCTCGGAGCGCAGGGCCGCCTGGTCTCTGGCCTCGGATCATACCTTTGACACCCATTCACAGACTGACGCCTGACACCAGCACCCCACCAGACCAGAGGGGCCAGCCGTAGAGGAGGGGCTTCTGCCCCGGGGCCTGGCGCCCAGGATAGGCCCCTTTGCTGCGGCAGCTGAGGCTGGGAGATACCCGGCAGGGGATACCTGGCGGCTGCTGGGGCGCAGCGAGGCCTGCCTCGGGAAGATCTTAGAACCTCGCCCTGCGTAGTCGCCAGGCACATCCCCACGGGTGAGGGGCTCCCGATCCGCCTACCCGTCCACCGGCGCCCCAGCTCTGGGGGTGGGGTCTGCGGGTCCAGGAGGCCCACGGGGCGGGCGTTGGGGGCCGTCCGCAGGGAGCCCCAGGGGCCGGGGCCGAGTCGGAGGGGCGGGGCGTCATCGTCCCGCCCCCACCCTTCCCCCGCGCCCGCCGGCTCCCGGGTCTCTAACCTGCCGCTCAGGTTCCTCCTCGCGGTCCCGCCCCGGCCCGGCCCAGCCGCGCGTCCCTCCCGCTGCCGAGCCCGGGCCGCCCAGGCGAGGAGCGGACAGACAGGCGGACGGACGCGCGGACAAGGGGACCCACGGGCGGCGCAGGCACGGGGCCGCGAGGAGCAGGTGAACGCCCCACGGGTCCCCACCTAGCCCACTCAGACCTGCCAGAATCCCTGCGGACGGCAGTCTGGCTCGGCCTTAGTTTCCCCAGGTGGCCGTGCGACTGGGGGCTCTGGCCGGAGTCCGTGGGCCGGGCCTGGGCGCCGGAGGCAACGGGGTGCGATAGGGCTGCGCCGAACCCGCGGCCAGGAACCTGGTCCGGCTGCGGCCTGGTCTGCCCGGCCTGGTGCTGGGGCGGTGCCGGTGCGCAGGGACATTTTAAAGGCAGTGGCACCTGAGTCAGCCGGCCCCCTCCCCGCCCTGGGGCTCGGTGGAGGGAACCCCTTCCTCCAGCGAAGGAGGTGGGAAGGGGGTTCTCTCCCTGTCCCTCGAAGGCCCCAAACCCCCTTCCACAGGACAGGCTGGGGCCTCCTTTGTGGCCAGTGGCTCCCTGTGGGCTGGCTCAGGAGGCACTTCCTGGGTGTCTGAGCCAGGAGGGAATCCAGGGCCAGAGAAGCATCAGGCTAGGGTCAGGTTCTGGGTCAAGGGGTGTGGGAGTTTCAGGGAGGAGGAGGCTGCATGCTGGGTGGCAGGGGGCCTGTGGGTGCTGGACCTGAGGCTCCCCAGGTCCCTCCTCCCTGAGCCAGGCTGGCCTGGGGCGGCCCCTGTGTATGAAGGTGTCCCTGGTGGCTGGGGAGGAGGGTAGACAGGCTTGTGGTGCTTCTGAGGTGCACCCACAGACCACCTCTACCCCCACTCCAGGGGTAGTCAGCCCCAGCAGTAGCAGTTCGGGGAGCCAGGGCCCAGCTGGGGGTGCCTCTCCTTCCCCACCTCTGCACTGCTCCCCCCAGCCCCCGCCCTGGGGGGGCCTGCCCAGGCCTCTCCTGGGGCCTGCCTAGAACGGGGCCTCAGTGGTTCAGCATTCCACCCCGCCCAGTCTGTTGGATCCCCTGTGCCCGCCTTCCCAGCGCACCTTGAGCCCACCCCTTCCCCACCCAGGCTTCCCAGGCTTATCCCTCCTTACCAACCAGGTTGGGCCCTCCCCAGCAAGCAGTTCCCAGACCTGGGCAGAGCCAGGGCCCCGAGGGGTTCCCCATTCCAGAACTCCACCCGGCTCCCTCTGGGCCTTAAGCTGACTCCTCCCCAAGGTCACTTGGCTGTGAGCTGGAATTTGAACTTGGAGCTGGTCCCTCCACCCTCCCTGCCCTGCTGGGGCCTCCGCCACTGCCCAACAAGGCACCATGCTCGGCCCTCCCTTTGCACCCGGAAAATGGCCGCAGTAAAACCAAAGTGCAATCTGGGCCCTGGGCTGGTCCCAATCCCTTGGGCCCACACAGCTCCCCTGCCCCAGTCAGCTGACTGGAGCAGGCCTGTGGTGGCCCCTCCCCCAGCTGCTCCCCAACCCAGATGCCAGCACCTGGACTCACCTTTCTGGCTGGCCCTGCTGGGCCCCCCACCCTGCTCCAGGGAGTTGAAGGCCATGGGTTCCTAGCCTAGGCGCCCCAAGGAGGGGGGCCGTGTGTCCCAACCTGTGCGTGTCTGTGTGTGCCTGGGGGCCTGGGTTTTGCCCAGGTTTGTGTGTGCCCAGACACACGTGCCCAGTGCCCTTGGCTCAGCCCCTAGGAATCCCATTAAGCAAACACTCGGCTCCCTCGCTGAGGTCATGAGCATTCCGGACATTCTCCACGGACAGATGGTCAGAGGAATCTGACCAAGCCCCTACTCCCACCCATCCTGAGAGAGCCAGGACCCTCCGTGGCACATGGGAGGGGGTGGCCTGAAGCCCCCAGGCCCCTCACACCTCCTGGAAATCCTCTTTGTAGGTAGGACCTGGTCAAACCAGAAAGTCCTGGGGTGCTCCCTGCCCCTAGATACCAGTACCCCTGGCCTGTGGACCACCCACTCCAGCCAACCCCAAATACAGAGGGACAGCCTTGTCAGAGGTCCCCAGGGGGCACAGACCTCACAGGACATGTTAGTCTGACCCAGGGGGGCCAGGCTCTGCTCACCCCCCTGAGGGTGTGCTCCCTCTAGACTTTGTTCTGGGCTCTGGGTCCCCAAGGCCACACCTCCCCCCGCCCCTACCCCATCCAGGGTCCAGTCTCATCCTGTGCTGCCTTCCTCTGGTATTGGCTCCCACCTGCCTCAGGGCCTTTGAACATGTGTTCCCTCTGCTTGGAAGGTGGTTCCTCTCCTAGGTCCCCTTTCAGAGCCCCCAGGACACTGTCCTTGCAGGCCCACCTAGATAGCCTTGAGAGTGGGACTCCTCTACTGGCCCCCCTGGGGCTCCCTGTGGAAGACCAAGGGTCTGGGGTGAGATAGAGGCCCATGTCTGCCAGCTGGGACCTGGGCCGGGAGGTCCTGCTGTGTCCAGGAGGCAGGACTCTACTCCCTGAGGACACCCTGCCCAAGCTCTCTGGGGAACCTGGCCAGGACACCAGGGCTGCAGCCTCTGGATCTGGGGTGGGCGGAAGAGGGGATCAAGTCCTGCCCTGGGAGCAGTGAAGCCACCGACCAGGCCCCAGGGAGGTGTCAGCTCGGCTGCCCTCTGCACTCAGGTGTGGGCCGGGCACTAGGCCCTGGACTCAGGCCACAAGGTTGCCCTTCCATCACCAGCCACCACCAAGGACGCCATGAGCCAGTTGGGGTCTGTGAGCTGCTGCCCAGGTGCTGCCAAGTGAGTCCCCACCCCCATCCACTGAGCATTCCCCGGGGAGGGGTGCCGTGTGGGCCTCGCCCTCACCAGCCCCTCCCCTGCAGTGGCAGCCTGGGCCGGTCTGACAGTGTGGCCAAGATGAGTGCCAAGGACCTGTTTGGTGAGTGAGGCTTGAGGATGCGCTGTGGGGTCTCGCCCACTCCCCTCCCCCAGGCTGTGCCAGGCCCCCACCAGGGGGATGCAGGTCAGCCCTTGGTGCCCAAAGGAGGCCCCTGGACCCTCATTAAGCAACAGCTGCTCAGGTCCCTCCCTCCCTCACTGTAAGGAGAGAGGCCTTTACTAATAATTCAGGGACCATCAATATTGATTCGGCTGTGCTCCTCACTGCAACCAGATAGCCCAAGGGGGTGGGGCTCAGGCTGGATGGAGCGCCAGGTGTCTGCTGGGGGGGAGGGGGGCGGGGCCTGGCCAGCCCCACCTCGCCCAGCTCTGCCTCTCCCCCAGACACTCTTTTGTGCTTTTGGACTCAGTGCCCTGTCTGGAAAGTTAGGAGTCTCAGGGAGGGACCGAGAGATGTTAGCTGGCAGCTCTTGGAGTTGGGGGAAGCCCAGGCTTGGACTGCTTCCCAGAACAGTGGGCTTCCAAGGGAGGAGCTGCTGAGCCTCCTGCACCCGCTCCAGGACAGACCCCTAGCAGGGGGTCCTTTTCTAGGGGCCATCTGGGGGCAGAGGGAGCTGAGGGTCCTTTCCTAGGGGCCATCTGGGGGCACAGGGGGGTTTTCTGTCTGCCCAGAAGGGCCCTCACATTTCACACCCTCGAGTCCTTTCTGGCGGCAGCCCCCTCACCTCCACTCGGCCCTTCCTGTGGCCCAACCTGGGAGTCCAGTCCCACCTGTACCAGGGGCTGTGGGTCCTGCCCTCTGGGGTGAGTGACTGGTGACTCCCTGCTCAGAACAGAGGAAGAAGTACTCCAACTCCAACATCATCATGCATGAGACCTCCCAGTACCACGTCCAGGTGAGGCCAGCCCCCAAGGAGCACCTCCAGAGTCCCCGGGCAGATGGGAACCTGAGGCACAGGGAGACAGCCCAGCTTCTGACACCCACAGCAGGTAGCCAGAGCCAGGGACTGCCCCACACCTGTCCTGGGCTCACCCACGGTGCGGGGAGCACCCTCCAATCCTGGGAAGCTCACAGTCTGGGGGACGCAGGAGCTCTGGGGCTCTGTCAGGGAAATGGAGATGCCGGTGGTCAACACAGGCCAGGCAAGGACAAGGCCTGGGTGCTGTTTGGCAGCACTTGGGTGGGAAAACTCTGTGGGAAGGAAACTGTCATCCTGGCCCCCAAACAAGGAACTGGATTAAGAGGCAGAAGATAGGACACAGACACACTTAGTGAGCTCCTGCAGGAAAACCTCGGATGGCCAATTCAGATGGACTCTGGGAATGTCCAGACTGGTTAGCTGCACTCCAGACCAGCACCCAGCTCAGGAGGGTTTTCACCCCGGGTCAGCTTTTTTTTTTTTTTTTTAAGATTTTATTTATTTATTTATTTGAGAGAGAGTGAGATAGAGAGAGAGCACAAGAGGGGGGAGCAGGAGAGGAAGAAGCAGACTCCCTGCCGAGCAGGGACCCCGATGCAGGACTCGATCCCGGGACTCTAGGATCATGACCTGAGCCGAAAGCAGTCGCTTAACCAACTGAGCCACCCAGGTACCCTACCCTGGGTCAGCTTTGATTCACACTTAGAACTCAGGAAATATGTTTTTTAAATGACCTTCTTGGTTCTTGGCCACTGTCCCATCCTGTAGGACAACAGGGCTAAGAATGGCTGAGGAGGGAGGAAGGGGCAGCCTTGGACCAGGAAGAGGGGGGCTTGGACCAGGAAGTAGGGGGGACCCTGGGCCAGGAAGGGGGGGGCCTGGACCAGGAAGGGGGCCCTGGACCAGGAAGGGGGGAGCCTGGATCAGAAAGGAGGGCCTGGATCAGGAAGGGGGCCTTGGACCAGGAAGGGGGCCCTGGACCAGGAAAGGGGGAGTCTGGATCAGGAAGGGGGCCTTGGACCAGGAAGGAGGGCCTGAATCAGGAAGATGAGGACTTCTTCCCTCCCCACAGAACCCCCCAAACCCAAGAGGCCAGGCGACTCACTGCTTTCTAAGCCTCAGGTTCCTGATCCATACAATGGGTCCACAGAGACACTGGGAGTCCCTAGGCTCTTGAATTGGGCTGTGTTGAGTGAGCAGCCTTCCCTGCCAGGCTGCTGGCTCAGGGTCCAAGGGCAGGGCACAGGGTGGGGAAAGGTCAGCTTCATCCCCTTCCTTCCCAGGCAGCTGGGCCACCCCTCTCGGGGGTAGGGCAACATTGCCCTTCTGGACTTTGGTCCGAGCTATCCTGTGGAAAGACCCCAACCCGGGGGCACCTCTCCTGCTTGCCCAGCACCCGGCAGGGCTGGGGGAGAGGATGGGCTTTGCCTGCCCCTCCCAGGTGAGGAAACCAAGGCACAGAGAGAGGGTAAGAAGTGGGGGCAAGGTCAGACCCACCCCTGGCAATGGGGGGCTGCTAAGACTTGTGGGTTTGTTTGCTTTCCTGTTTTCTAAGTTAGTGTGCCGGAGGGGGGGGGCATGCAGTTGTGTTTCAGGTCGGTGGTGTCACCGCCACGGTCCGGACACAACAGCTGCTTTACCCCAAAACTCACTCCTGCTGACCCTAGCGGTCAGGGTCTTCCCAATGCACCGTTCAGCAACGCGGCTCTGTCCTGCAGCTCTCGAGTTTGACTTTTGGAGAACCCCGTCTCCCCCCACTTCTGCATAATTGAATTCATATAGTTTATAACACTTTGTTCTGCTTGGTAAACTTATTTCAAGAAAACGCGTGTGTAGGATAAGACTTCTCTCAGCTCTGGTCTGCAGGGGACATCTCCACCGGCTGTGCCAGCCCCTGGGGACCCTGCATGTGGCCACTCGTTTGTACAATTGCACCTTTTTGACGGGTGGGAGTCCTTTGCACACATTGTCAGGTGTGTGGATTAGAGATATCTTCTCCCAGTATGGCTTGTTGATTGATATGCATGACCGTCTTTTGATGAACAGAAGTACTTAATTTTGATGATGTCCAGCCATATCCACTCTCCCCCTAAGATTAGGGTTGTTTTGTTGGTTTTGTTTTGTTTGTTTGTTTGTTTTTGTGGGGGGAGGGAGTGGTCATTGCCTGACCCAAGGCTGTGAAGATTCCTTCCTGTGTCTCCTAGAAACTCCAGACTTGAGGCTTTTACATTTAGGTCTATGATCCATTTGAAATTAATTTTTGTGTATGAGACTCGAGGCTAATTTTTCCCCGTAGCAATGTGCAGTTATATGAAGAAGATGTTCCTTCTCCTATCAAATTGCTTTGGTGCCTTCGTCAAAAACTGAGGAGTTGAATGGGATGGGTCTGTCCGTGCTTTGTTTCGTGATCTTTCTCTCACTGTAGCTTTATTATTGAACTTGAAATCAGGCAATGTGAGTCCTGCAACCTTATATTCTTTCTCCCCAAGATCTTCTTGACTATTCCAAGCTCTTTGGACTTGTGTTTATATTCCAGCCTCCCAGAAAAGCCTGCTAGAATTTTGACTGGCATTGAGTCAAACCTATGGATCCACTCGGTGTGATCCTGAGCCCTTCCCACCTGTGGACGCGCTCTTTCCCCACGTATCAGGGCTACTCTGACTTCTCTCAGAATGTTTGTGTTTCCACTGTAGGGATCTTGAGTATCTTTTCTCCAAACATTCCTTAGTATCTGACTTGCAGACGCTGTTGTAAACGGTACTGTTTTTAAAAAAGCCATTTTTGCATTGTTGCTAGCGTATGGAGGAACAATTGAATTTCCGTACAATTATTGAGCGCCCTGAGACCCCTCTGAACTCACTTATTTGTGTTAGTGATCTGCTTGTAGATCCACTGAATTTACTACTATAAAATCAGGCTGTCTGAAAAGCAGAGCTTTGTATCTTATTTTTAGAGCTTCATTGCCCTGGCTAGGACCAACAGTACAATGCTGAATAAAAGCAACAAAGAGGGGACATCCTTGCCTGTGTCCAATTTTAAGAAGAAATATCCAGTATTTCCCCATTGTATAGGCTATATATTTTTGTAGATAGTTTACTAGTGAAGAAGCTCCTTTCCATTCTTTGCTGAGAGTTTTTTATCATGAAAGGCGTTACATTTTGTCAAATGCTTTCTCTGAATTTACAGAGGTGTATTCACGACTGTTAACATAAGTCAGTCACACTGATTGATTTTTCTGAATGTTGAACCACCCTTGCGTTTCTGGGATAAACCTCATTCATTCATTATTGAATTATTATTCAATAAGTGTACTATTCTTTTTATGTGTTGATGGACTAATTTGCTAACAATTTGCATTAATGTTCATTAGAGATACTGGTCTATAATTTTATTTTCCTATAAATCCTTGACAGATTTTGGTGTCAAAATTGTGGTGGCCTTATTAAATGAGTGGGAAAGTATTCCTACTCCTTGGTTTTCAGAAAGAATTTGTGAAACATTGTTTTTATTTCTTCCTTAAGTAATTGTTAGGATTCACCTGGAAAGCCCTCTGAATGTAGGGTTTTCTTTGTGGGAGGTTTTTGACTATGAATTCACTTTTATGCATGTAAGATCTGTAGTGATGGCCCTTCCTTTTTTCTAGTTATTGATCATTTGTGTTTTCTCTCTTTTTTTCCTTGATCAATCTTGCTGGGGTTTATCAATTTCATTAATCTTTTCAGAACCGACTTTGGGCTTAGTTGATTTTTCTCTATTGTTTGGTTACTGCTTTGCTGGTTTCTGCTCTTAACTTCCTTCTTTTCACTTACTTTGGGTTTTGATTGTCCTTTTCTAGTTTCTTACGGGAGACCTGTAGATCACTGATATGAAATATTCCTTCTTTTCTAATTTATTCATTTACAGCTGTACACCACCCCCCCACAAAAGCCTTTCGCCAAATCCCACAAGTTTGATGTGCCTGCCTTTAGTTTTTATTTTTATTTTATTTTTTTTAAAGATTTTATTTTTATTTATTTGACAGAGAGAGACACAGCGAGAGAGGGAACACAAGAGGGGGAGTAGAAGAGGGAGAAGCAGGCTTCCCCGTGGAGAAGGGAGCCTGATGCGGGGCTCGATCCCAGGACCCTGGGATCATGACCTCAGCTGAAGGCAGACGCTTAACGACTGAGCCACCCAGGCGCCCCTAGTTTTTATTTTTATTTTTTTAAGATTTTATTTACTTATATGAGAGAAAGCACAAGCAGGGGGAGGAGCAGAGGGAGAGAGAGAAGCAGGCTCCCTGGCGGGACTCTATCTGGGGACCCTGGGATTATGACCTGATCCGAAGGCAGACGCTTGAGCCACCCAGGCACCCCACGCACACACCTTGGTTGTCATTCAGTTTGGAACACTTTCTGATTCCCCATGACTTCTTTGCCCCCTTCTTCTTTGTTCACGTGAGCACTCACAGCTACAGACACTCCCCCCCACCCCTTGTGTGGCGTCCCGAGGTCCTGCTGTGCTGTGTTTTTGTTTTCATTTGTCTCTGTCTTTTCTCATTTCCCTCCTGATACCTTTCACCACTGGTTGTTGATGTAGAAGTGTGTTGCTCAATTTCCAATTATTTGAGGGTTTTCTAGTTATCTTTTCTGTTACCGGTTTCTAGTTTAATTCCATTATGGTCAGAGAGCACACTTTGCAGGGCTTCAATCACCTGAAATGCACGGAGACTTGTTCCGCAGTCAGGCACATGGTTTTGCTTGGCTTGGTGGTGTGTTTTGCTAACAGTGTGTGCTTTGGGGCTCACTTGCCTCGCACAGATGGGTCGGCTGCCTTTTGTCCCCTGCATGTTTCTGCCCCCTTCTCTCTCTGACCTGCCTACGCACACGTAGGCTGGGACCACCCCTCACAACCACACTCAGTCTCGCATGTGGTGGGGTTACCTGAATTGTGAGGAGAGAGCACCTGGGGCGTGCGGACTGGGGGCTCCCACTTCTCCACAGCTAACCTGTGAGTGTGACCCACAAGGACTTGTTAGACTGGTCAATAAAACAGGTAAATAAGCCTGCGGTTGACTCACTTCAGGAGAAGGGGTGTCAGAGTTTCACTATGCAATGCTTTTGTTGAATGAGACTACATGCAATTTTCTATTTTAAAAAGTGAGTTACATTTATTTTCCCAGAGATCCTCTGTTTAGCTCTTTTGCTGATTTTTCTATTGGATTGTTAATTTTTTACTTATTCACAGATTTTTTCATTCATTTATTCATCACTGGTAATAACTATACTTAACAAAATAGAGCTTTTAACAAAGTAAGAGCTATCACTGAAGTACATACTGGTCTTTTTATAAATTAAGAAAATCAGGGGTGCCTGGGTGGCTCAGTTGTTAAGCGTCTGCCTTCGGCTCAGGTCATGATCCCGGGGTCCTGGGATCGAGACCCACATTGGGCTCCCTGCTCCGTGGGAAGCCTGCTTCTCCCTCTCCCACTCCCCCTGCTTGTGTTCCCTCTCTCGCTGTGTCTCTCTCTGTCAAATAAATAAATAAAATCTTTTAAAAAGAAAAGAAAATTAGCCTTCACCATATCTATTACATCTGTTTGTCCCACTTTTTTTTTTTTCTTTTTACTTCGTATACGGTATTTTTTTTTCCAGGCAGAAATGCATTAGGTCAGAGTTTTTGGTCTTTTCTTCTGAGCGTCTGGGTTTTCTTTTTCTTCCTTGCTGAGGAAGGTACCCCTGTGGGGGGGCCGTTCTGAGGTCATCAGAAATCGTCCAGCATTTTCTCCTAGCACTTTCGCAGCTGGGTCTTGACTGCCTAGAGTTTAAGAGAGTGTTTATCCGGTTGTCTCAGCTTTGTTCACTGACTTCAGTGAAGGTCAATGGGACACACTGCGGAGCCTGGAGGGAGGAGGAGCCCGAACCAGGCTTGGGGACAGAGGAAGGGGAGGGCTGTGCTGGCCAAGGGTCCCCGGGCCACCCCACAAAGCAGCCCACATGGCCATTCCAGGTGCTCACTCATCCCAGCACATTCACTGAGGGCCTACTGTGTGCCAGGCACTGTCCCAGGCACTAGGGAAATAGCAGTGAACCCAGCAGCCAGAAAATAAACAAAGAAACATAATGTCAGATTGTGATAATTAAAAACAAGTCAGATCAGGGGGTTGAGAGTGATGCTGTAGCCTGGCAGGGGGAGCAGGTCTGAGCGGAGCCCTGAAGGAAGAGAGAGCTGGAGAAGAGTAAGGGAGGCAAACTGGGGATAGACCATGCAAAGGCCCTGTGGTGAGTCTATGCTAGGTCTGCAGGGGGGAACAGGGAGGCTGGTGTTCCTGGAGTCCAGCCACAGGAGATGAGGTGGGCGAGGGATTGTTTGTGTGGGGCTGCCAAAGGTTTTATCAGGGCATGTCCACGGCCCCCCAGACGTTCCTCAAGGCAGAGCAGAGACCTTCCCCTAAGGTAGGGCTGTGTCTCTCAGACCCCCAGGGTCGGGGATGTTCTCCACCCCCCAGGCTCCCAAGGTTGGCCCTGGCCCCTCAGGCCCCTGGGGTGCAGCCCCTTGACCCTCGTCTGGGCACAAGGAGGGCTCTCCCCAGAGTGACCACCTGCCCGCCCCCAGCACCTGGCCACGTTCATCATGGACAAGAGTGAGGCCATTGTGTCCGTGGATGACGCCATCCGGAAACTGGTGCAGCTGAGCTCCAAGGAGAAGGTGTGGACACAGGAGATGCTGCTGCAGGTCAATGACCAGTCTCTGCGGCTGCTGGATGTGGAGTCCCAGGTGTGGCAGCGACAGGGCAGCCAAAGGCCATGACCCAGACACGCAGCTGGGCCTCTCTGTGGGGGTGGGACAGGATGAGGAGGGCAAAGGGCAGGTGGGGCAGGGAGGGCTGATCGGGCTGAGAATCCAGGGGAACCCGGTCACACACAGCACCTCGCCCACCTCTGGCTCCAGCCTGTCCACCGGCTGTCCCAAGGCAGGGCCTGGCTGTGCCCAGGGGTCCGTGTGCCGCAGCTGCGGCCACGGCCTGGCAGAGTCCGGGTCTGCCTCTGTGCCACGTGCTCTGCGGTGCCCACCAGTTGTCTGTGACTGCCCACGGCACACACCCCACAAGCCGGGCTCACAAGGCACGCCCAGGGCACTGTGTCCGTGGCTCAAGTCCACCCCGCACCCGTGGCGGTGAGTCCGTGGTGGTGTCACATCTGGGAGTCGCGGCCGTGGGACGCGGCCCAGGCGCATCCGAGCCCCTGGTCCCCTAGGAGGAACTGGAGAACTTCCCGCTGCCCACCGTGCGGCACAGCCAGACCGTGCTGAACCAGCTGCGGTACCCCTCCATACTGCTGCTCGTGTGCCAGGACTCGGAGCAGAGCAAACCCGACATCCACTTCTTCCACTGCGACGAGGTGGAGGTGAGAGGGGCGGCGGCCGGGAGGGCCCCGGTGCGCCTGCGCCTGCGCCTGCCTGATACCCGGTGCCCCCAGGCGGAGCTGGTGCACGAGGACGTCGAGAGCGCGCTGGCCGACTGCCGTCTAGGGAAGAAGCTGAGGCCACAGACCCTGAAGTAGGCGGGGGCGCCGGGCGCGGGAGGGCCGGGGGTGGGGCTGGGGCCAGGCTGAGCGCGCCTTCGCCCCCATTCCAGGGGCCACCAGGAGAAGATCCGGCAGCGGCAGTCCGTCCTGCCCGCTCCCAAGGGCCCAGCCCCCATCCCCTTCCAGCGCTACGGCAGTGACTCCCCGTCCGCCAAGAATCGAGTGGGCCCGCCGATGCCACTCACTGAGCCAAGTACGCTGAGGGAGCCGGGCTGGGGCTGCACTCGAGGTCCGGGGGGCGGCCTCCGTCAGTAACACCCGATGTCTGCCTCCCCCATCCAGGCTTCCGCCGTCGGGAGTCGCAGGATGAGGAGCCACGCGCTGTGCTGGCTCAGAAGATAGAAAAGGAAACGGTGCGTCTTGGGGCAGGTGGGGCGCCCCCACCTGACCGCGTCCCCATCAGGTGTGGGCCCCTCCAGCCAGCCTCCAGCCAGCACCCGCCTCCTCCCCCCAGGCCAGGGACCAAAAGACAGTGTGTGCGGCTGTCCCTGCCGCGGGTGGGGGCGCCTGAGTCTGAACCCCTGCCTCTGCTCTGACCCCAGCAAATCCTCAACTGTGCCCTGGACGACATTGAGTGGTTCGTGGCTCGGCTGCAGAAGGCGGCAGAAGCTTTCAAACAGCTGAACCAGCGCAAGAAGGGGAAGAAGAAAGGGAAGAAGGGGCCAGCAGGTGCGGAGGGGGCGGTGGTCCGTTGGGCAGGGGGGACAGCAAGGGGAGGTAGGGGAACAAGAGAAGATGGAGAGAACAAGGTGCAAGAGGCGGGTGGCCACTGAGCTGCAGGAGATAGGCAAGGACCCCCCCGGCGCAGTGACGGCCAGCCAGGTTCATAGCCACCGCCCTGCCCATTCCAGAGGGTGTCCTTACACTGCGTGCACGGCCCCCCTCTGAGGCCCAGTTCATCGACTGTTTTCAGAAAATCAAGCTGGCTATCAACCTGCTGGTGAGTACTAGGCCCCCTCCAATCTACCCTCCCCACCCTGTCCCTCTGTGCCTACATTGGGGGATCTAGGGTCTTTGCCTCCCCTTGTCCCAGCACCATCCCTGCACCCCTCTGTCTGCCCCCCACCCTGTCCCTCTGTGCCTACATTGGGGGATCCAGGGTCTTTGCCCCCCCTTGCCCCAGCACCATCACCCCACCCCTCTGTCTGCCCCCCACCCCAGGCCAAGCTGCAGAAGCACATTCAGAACCCCAGCGCTGCAGAACTCGTGCACTTCCTCTTTGGACCTCTAGATCTGGTGCCTGGGGCTGGGGCTGGGGGCGCAGGACCCCAGGGTGGTTTGCCCCTGGCTGAAGGTGGGGGGAAGCAAATGCCTACCCTGGGCAGGCAGCTGGGGCCTTGCGTCCGGGCTGTGGGTGTGGCTGGTCTGTGGTGCTGTCAGCAAGCCAGCTGGGACTGGGGTCCGGTGGGTAGGGCCTCCTCTGAACCCCGCTTTGCCCCAGATCGTCAGCACCTGTGGGGGCCCAGACATCGCACGCTCCGTGTCCAGCCCCCTGCTTTCCCGCGAGGCCGTGGGCTTCCTGCGAGGCCACCTAGTCCCCAAGGAGATGACGCTGTGGGATTCGCTGGGGGAGACATGGACACGCCCCCGGTGCGGCAGCGGGCAGTGGGCAGAGAGGGTGTGGGAAGGGGCCCTGGGCTGGGTGATGCAGGGCATGGGGTGCAAACCAGGATGGGGTTCCCTGGCAGGCCAGGTGTGTGGTCCCAGGTGGGGCTGGTTCCCATGCGTGGGCGTGGCTCACCTCCAGAACCTCCCACCTCCAGTTCTGAGTGGCCCCGGGAGCCGCAGGTGCCCCTCTACGTGCCCAAGTTCCACAGTGGCTGGGAGCCACCCCTGGACGTGCTGCAGGAGGCTCCCTGGGAAGTGGAGGGGCTGGTGTCTGCCCCCGACGATGAGGTCAGAGCACCCATGGCCCCACCCCAAACCCACTGGCCATCTGCCTCCTCCACCACTGCTCACCTCCTCAGCCCACCTCTGTCCACTGCCTTCACCCCACACCAATCTAGGGGGTCCTTTTTCCCACAGCCGACTCCAGCGAACCGACCATCCTTTCGAAACTCCCCCAAACACAGCCTTGTATCTGAGCCCACAGCTCCACCTCCAGGAGACCCTCTCCCCCAAGTCAGCTCCCCGCATGCTCACAGGTAAGTTCCTCTTCAAATGAGGGAATGTGACGCTCACCCCTAGAAACAAGGAGGCTCTGATATGAGTGTGTTGCCACCAGGTGGCGGCAAATGCCTTGTTCATGGCGTTCAAAAAAAGCATTTTTCCAAACCAGAACCAGGTTTTCATTCTAACTTTATAATATAAAATTGAAGAGAAAAATGTCAAAAGCCACCTATAAATTCATTACCCTAGTACGTTATCTCTCTTTGTGTCTTCTCAGGTATGTTTTAGAATCATGGTTAGACGTTTACTAAGTCACTAAACTTAAGTGGGTTCAACGATCCCTGTCACTCACGCCATTGGGGCTGATTTAGGTCCAGCCTCAGAGCCAGAGAAGGAGACTGAAGGTCTGGGCTAAGGACAGCCATTCTCCCCGCCCCCATACACATACTTCCCACAGACCCAGGGCCTGGGGGACTTCCCATCCTTCTTCTCCTCTCCTCCTTTCTGTTCTCACTTCTGGCCCAGGATCTGTCTGGGAAGCTGGTTACCCTGCCAGACCCCAGGATTCAGTTTCAGCAAGGGAGGGGGCTGAAATCTGTGTCTTACACAAGTGTGCCCCTCTCACTGCACCCCCTACCCCCGCCATGGCCAGGCTGATGTCCATGGCTCCTAACCTAGGGCCACACTTGAAGAGACATTTTCATCCTTTGACCTCCAGCCCCTGGCCAGGACACCCACGCCATGCCCCTGCAGCTCGTGGGCCGTCCTCCACTATGGGTGCTTGTGGGCAGGGCTGTGGCTCTGAAAACACTTGGCCCTCCCTCATTGGTCAGCTGCTTGCAAGGATGGTGGTGACCCTGTCATTTCTTGGGTACATGTCTGGCTGTGGGTCCCCTGGGGGCCGGGCCTGGCGCCCCCTGAGATGGCCTGGCCTCCGGCGGGCCTTGCCATGCCCACACGCCCCCTCGTCCCACCCCCACCCCCCCTGCATGGCCCCCACCTCCGTGCAGGGGCCCCAGACGCTCTGGGGCTGTCACAGTTTCCATTCCCGGCTGACGAGCCTCAGCTTCTCTCCGCTGTGACCTCAGAGAGCTGAACAGGAGGCGGCACGCACCTGGGAAGCTGCTCCCCCAGCCCAGCCCCAGGGCCAGGAGGAGACCCCAGCCCAGTCCTGGGCCTCAGCCCTTCTGTTCCACGCAGGGGCTACGAACCTGGGCCAGCCATGGCCAAGTACGTCAGGATCCTCTATGACTTCACAGCCCGCAACGCCAACGAGCTGTCGGTGCTCAAGGACGAGGTCCTGGAGGTGAGCCGGGGCCTGGGCTGGGGGTGGGGGGCTGCCCAGGAGAGGCAGGAGCCAGGCTGCCTGATGCTGGCACACGGCACGCCTGTCCAATCCCTTTCCCCAGGACCCCTACCCCTGGGCTCCAGTCTGGGTGCACAGCCTGCCCCTTCCCCACCCCCAGCACAGCCTGGATGAGGGGCCTCCCTGTCTTGGGGATCTAAGAGGGGGCTCAGGGGCTCCTGTGCTGGGCTAAGCTGGGCTCACATTGAAGGACAGGCCTTCTCTGTGCCAAGTGCAGACCCTCCAGCTCTCAGCCAGGGCTCGTCATTCACACCCACCCCTGGACCCCCCTTGAGACACGGTCTGTATGGTGCCAGTCCTGAATTCAGGCCACCCACTGGGGGACGGAAAGTGGAGCAGGCTGGCCGGGGTGGAGGGTGATCTATATGCAAAGGCTAGAGGCACCCTTGCTCTGGATGCTGCTGGAGAGGGCTAGGGGGAGATAAGGGAGGGATGGTAGCCTCTATGGGTGGGACAGAAGGTTGGGCAGGGCAGGGGCTCCTGGGAGGACTTGTGACTTCCCCACAGGATTGGGGGGAGGCGGGGCTTCGGAGGAAATGCCTAGAACTCTCTCTGGCCCACCTATAAAGAGGGGCTCATACACCCTGCGCTGGTGACCAGATGGGGGTGATGGTGGGGGTGGATGCCTGCAGGTGCTCGAAGATGGCCACCAGTGGTGGAAGCTTCGCAATCGCAGTGGCCAGGCAGGATACGTGCCCTGCAACATCCTGGATGAGACTCGGCTGGAGGACGCACCCCAGGAGCGGGTGAGTGCGAGGAGCGGGGGCTTCTGCGGTCCCACCTCAGAGGGGGGATGGGCGGGTGCAGACCCGGCGCTGAGCCCCGGATTCCTCCGTGCCCGGCGGGGGTGGGGCCACAGGCCGGGCCCTGGGAGGGGGGGGCGGCGAGAAGGGATGCCTCACCTTCTCCTTATTACAACCCTGCGGGGAGGAATGATGAGCTGACGCTGAGGGCGCCCCCACCCCTTCGTCTCTTGCCCCCACCCCTGCAGGCCAGTCTGAAATATTGGGGTCCTGCCAGCCCCACCCACAAGCTGCCCCCAAGCTTCGCAGGGAACAAAGACGGTGAGAGGCGCTCTGCCAGGGCATGAGGGCCACCAGATGGATGCGGGTACGGGGCCCTGAGCCCCTTGGGGGAAGCAGCGGGCGGAGGGTCCTCGAGCGGGGTGGGGGCGCTGCGGAGGGCGCCGGTCGGCTCGCGGCGGGCCTGAGTGCCGGGCACCGCCCGCAGAGCTCATCCACCACATGGATGAGGTCAACGACGAGCTCATCAAGAAGATCAGCCACATCAAGGCGCAGCCGCAGCGGCACTTCCGCGTGGAGCGCAGCCAGCCGGTGGGCCTGCCGCTCACCTACGAGTCGG